GGAAGGGAGTTGGATCCTTCCACCTTGTTTTTTAAATGGAGAGAGAGGGTTATTTTGTGGTTCAATGTGAATTTTCCATATGATAAATGACACTGAAAATTTAATATAGATTGCTTTGAGTTGTATGCACACATTAACAAAATTGTTTCCCCAATCCATAAATACAGGGTGTCTTTCCATTTATGTATGTTTTCTTCCATTTTTTTTCATAAAGTTTCATACTTTTGTTGTACAGGTCTTTTACTCCCTTTAAAAATTAATTGCTGAAAGCCGGGCGTGGTGGCACACGCCTTTAATCCCATCACTGGGGAGGCAGAGGCAGGTGGATCTCTGTGAGTTCAAGGCCAGCCTGGTCTACATAATGAGTTCCAGGACAGCTGGGACTACAGGGAGACCCTGTCTCAAAAAGACAAAAAAATTTTTTTTGATTGCTGAATGCTTTTTTGGAAGTAATACAAATTAGATTGTTCACCTGCTTTGAACAATCCACTATTATACAGAAAAATGCTAGTGATTTTTTTTTTTTTTCTTTTTTGAGACAGGGTTTCCCTATAGCCCAGCTGGCCTGGAACTCACTATGTAGACCAGACCAGGCTGGCCTTGAACTCACAGAGATCCCCCTGCCCCTTCCTCTATAGCGTGCTAGGATTAAAGGTGTGTTCCACACACTCAGCCAATGCTATTGATTTTTACCTGCTTATTATGTATTTTAAGAAGTCTTTGTTTTACACATTGATCAATAGAGCTAAAATTTGTTGATATCCATGTGACAAAACCTGGACCTTTTTTAAAAATTTATTATTTTTATGTTTATGTATATGTGTGTATTGCCTACATGTATGTAAGAGCACCTGTGTTGCATGGTGCCCATGGAAGTCAGAAGAGGGCATCGGATCTCATGAAACTGGACTTACACAGAGTTGTTACCTGCCACGCAGGTGCTAGGATTTGAACATCTTCTGCAAGAAGTGCTCTTAACCACTGAGCCATCTTTCTGGGCCCCCAAACCTGAACCTTTATATACAAAAATTGTCATTTTTCACATGAAGTAAAAATTTAAAAACTTTTGTCTCATGTTCATCATGTTTCTATTTTCAGAGTTTACTTTTGCCAATTCACGTTTTGTTTTTTTTTTCATTTTCCGACCAAATTAAAAAAAAAATCAGTTCTCTTGGACTCTACTCCTTATTTGTGGTATGAATTTACTTCCCCTCTTATTTTCCTACTAGATTTTTTTTTCAATGAGTCAAGAGCTTGTACAGTTTCAATTCTGATTTTTTTTCATTACCACATCGTTTCTGAAGCTGCTGTTGTCTCTTTTTTGCATGAAATTATACTCATTACTGATTTTTCAGATTATTAACACTCGTGATCAGTTTGGGTCAGTATTCATCTCTTAGTGTTTCAAAATTAGATTTACCTTTATAATAATAGCTGGGCTACATTGATGTTGAAACTACTTTACCAGTCTCGAATTCATACCAGTTCACATGGCTATTTCAAAGAAAGAAAGAAAACCCCTCCAGTTCTTTGGGAGACAGGAGAGGAGGAAAAGAGGCGCTGAGAGCTGCAGCAGGTGAGGGCGTTGACAATGACTGTTCCCAGCAGCACTGTGCACTGGACTTTCTCTTCTGTCACATCTGTTCCTATACATGGAATGTTTTCTGGCTGGCATACTGATAATATGGCAAGTAATTTTTGTAGGGAGTGTGTCATTTCTCGAGTGTGTTCCTTGACTTCGTGCTAGGTTCTTCTGTATGTCTCTCAAGTCCTGGGATTTTACCTAAAAGTACATCTTTGCTTATTTGTGACAGGGAAGGAGCACAAAGTGCCACTGCCTGCTGCCTGTTCACCTGCACTGGCAGGTGGCAACATCTGCGGGGTTCAGTTTTGTTGCCAGTTAGTCTCTGAGTTGGACTGGATGATCTCCGAGTAGTTTTCCAGTTAAAACTTTTTGAATATTCATTCTTTTTCTAACTTCTGAAATAGCACCAACTCCTACTTCGTTTTCAGAATTTACGTGTGTATTTCTCTACCTTGTGTACTTGATGCTATGAATTTAGAGAACAAGTAATAGTTATCAAAGGAGGGAGGGAGGGAGAGAGGGAGAGACAGAAAGAAAGAAAGAAAGAAAGAGAGAGAGAGAGAGAGAGAGAGAGAGAAAGAAAGAAAGAAAGAAAGAAAGAAAGAAAGAAAGAAAGAAAGAAAGAAAGAAAGAAAGAAAAGAAACAGATTTCCTGAAGCGGTACTTGAGCATTGCATTGGAGCTGTAGATGTTGTACTCCTGTTTTAGATACACTGTCTAATAATATACATGTTCAGTTAATTGATACTAGCCCAAAGTGAGCAATTTAAATTATCTACCTACATTTTGATTCTTCTGGATATCTAATTTCCCAAATACTTCAAGTACTTAATCTGCATTTAAATGTAACCATGAATTAGTATACAATATAATTTACATTTTTGGTATTGAGATGTTAAACACTTAAGTTCATAGATGTTTGAAGCAAAGTGAATATAGCAGTTCTCACTGATTTCTTCTATAATCATTGAATTGCACCTAAACAGTATTACTTTTTGTCACTGCATAGAATATTCCAAATCGTAGGTGAGGAAAAAGATAACACAAAATCTTGAGCCAACCAATTTTGTTCCTGAACCCTATTTTAACAACAGAGATACATTTGTCATCTAATGAGGAAAAGGACAGAAATTTCATCTCTCACAAGTATTCCACTCTTACTTTAATGACTAAGTTTCTCCAAGACATTTTTTTTTAACCAGCTTATTTTGTTGAGTATCCGTGTTCCATCCTGATTGCTGCTTGCAGGCCCAGTAGTGAGTGGAATTATCTGGTAGATTACATGAAGGTTTTTTGCACAGATGTAAGTTCATCTTGTTCATATTCTTAGATTTTCCTTGCCCCTAAAGAGGTTACCTTGTTGCTAAGGAAAAGCTAAGACAACTGAAGTCTGAAGACAATTGTACATCAAAGAGAATTTTAAGCAAAAGTCCAGTAAACAAATGAAGACTAAATATGCCTTGTTTTATATATAAAAAACAGGATCTGAAAAGATAGTCTTCATTAATACCTAATGTAGCTCAACTGTAAACATAGCCTGGATTAGAGGAAGCTGTTGTCACTCATATCGAGCCAACACAGTATCAGTACAAAGCACAAAACAGCTGAGGTTTCCAGAAAAAGATGGCAGTAAACTATGCTAACATGAAATAAATTGACTTACCTCTCTTGGAAAGACTCCACTGAGGAGTGGAGTTTCTGTAATGCCCTGTGCTTCCATGAAGCTCAAGGTAGTTTCCCACTCCATTCTCTTACATTTTCTCTTATTTTGTAGTTCCATAGCTACCTAATTCACTTTTCCTCACCTAAAGTACCATTACTCAAAGATGCTTAGTGATCTTTAGTCCTCAGCAGTCACTACTTTCTAGGCTTTTTAACTTGATCTCCCTTTGGTCACAAGGTTGGGACTACAGTCCCTACTCGGTAGATGCAGAACTTACCACAGTCACTGCCTAGCTAGAAATTTTGCAACAGGAATTTTTCATTTCCCTTAAGGTGCCTTCAGGTCCTTCCTTAAACACTCCCGTTTCAGGACAGTTCCTGCTGATGGTCTATCATTTCCATGTGCAAATTGGGGAAATCACTGAATTGTATGACTCAGTTGTAAATTCAGTATTTAAAGCTCTTTCCAGACTTGCCTCACTTTTCCTTCTGTACAGATGCTCTATTCTCCACTGGGGTTGATTCACGTAGCTTTCCCTTTCCTTCTCATTTCTAGTTACCCTGCCTGAAATACTGCCTGCCTTTTATACCTTCATAACCTTCCTTCCGACTTAGTTGCCTTTCACACTAATGTTCTGTATTCTTCTCCATGAAATTGTTGTTTAAACCTTCTGTGACTGAACCCAATTGACAGTTGCTTCTAGATGGCAGGCCTCCAACCTTTACGTTGTGTGTGCATTGCTGTGTGCTTGCTGGTCGGGTTCTTTCAGTATTATGTCTTTGCACCACAAACAATGAATTAAACTCTTTTCTAGAAGATCGCCTGTCCTTTTTCTGCTTGACATTATATCAATCCACCTTGTAGAATTTTTTTTGTGCAGAGAATATTTAAGCAAGGTTTACCAATTTATATTCCATTTGGATTTTGTATTTTAATCATATGAAACTGACAATATGGTCATATTCAATTGAAATCTTGATATCAAGAAAATGATAATGATTTCTTTAAAAAAATTAGTACTTTTACAAAAGTCACATTCTAATTTCAAGAAAACATATGAGGCAACCAGACGTGGTGGCACCTACCTATCATTGGAGTGCTCAGAGTGCTGAGGCAGGAAGATCATGAGTTTCATGCTGGACTGTGATCATTAGTGAGAACAGTCTCTTTCTCAGAAATAAACAAGCACCACAAAATGGGCTAAAGCCAAAGTAACACCTTACCCCCAAATAAGTAGGTTGTGTGTGATTCATTCCTAAAACGTGTATTCCCACATGGAATGATTGAAGTATGTGAAGAAATTTGAAATGTTTAGATGTTGAAAGATGTCACTTGCCCCTAGGGTATAATCATCTTTCTTTTTTCACCTCCTTTTTTAAAAAAAAAAATACTATTTTTATGTGTATGCATGTATTGCTGCAAGTATGTAAATGCACCCATGTCATGCAATGCCCGTGGAGGACAGAAGAGGCTGTCAGATCCCCTGGAACTGGGGTTACAGAAGTTGTTAGCTGGCATGTGGGTGCTGGGATTCGGGCCCGGGTCTTCCGCCAGAACAGTCAGTGTTCTTAACTGCTGAGCCATCTCTCCAGCCCTTATCACCCCTTCTTAATCCTACCAGTGACACAGGTTTCATGGCAAATTAGAGCTAGATTGAAATCTGAAAGCCCTTTGAACCTTGTAGAGATAAGAGTCTGAGGGTGATTCTTGCAACTGTGCTAGTCAGGCTCAATCCTGTGTTTTCTTTTTTAGGTTTCCTGAAATGCAGTTTTTCCAACAAGAAAATGTGAGAAAAATTCTTACAGATGTTCTTTTCTGTTATGCTAGAGAAAATGAGCAGCTGCTTTATAAACAGGTAATGAAAATATCTTACAGGTGGCAACCACTGTCTTCAAATTTTCCATACAGCTTGACAAATGATAGAGCAATAATGCAACCTTTATTGTAGCCAGAGTTGTATCATAATGTTAAAGTAATCCAGGTACTGCTTGTCAGCTGCAGAGTGTGAAAAGCAAGCTCATTGAAATGCATGCTTCGTCCTCATTATAAGGCATTCTACCAAATTGTCTTCTATGAGATGTTCAATCTTTTCTTTCAACTTTTGCGAGTTCAGATATAAACAGCATCTCTGAAACCAGGTTAGTAATAAAACTTTTCTAAGTTGTGTATGTAAATATTATTTCTAAGCACAGCATTTATAAATATGTGATGTCGTGTGAAAAATAAGTGTCCTTTCACTCTATAATTTACAAGTAGCAGAACTTTAGAAAGTTTAAGTTTTTCGAAGTTTATAGTTAGCTGTCTTGTGCTCCTGATATTCAGCTCATTTCATTACTGAAGACATTACCAGACTGTTTTATGGTTTTGGAAATATAAATTGTTTAATATATAAATATATACCCAGGATTTATATTGAGGTTTATTGTGTCTCACTAAAGATATATACACATGACTCTTTTATTTTTCCAAATATGTATGAAATGATAATTCACACTAAATTTAAAATAATCAAAAGTTACATCTACGGGACTGGAGAGATGCCTCAGTGGTTAAGAACACTGACTGCTGTTGCAGAAGACCTGGGTTTGGTCCCCAGCACCCATATGGCAGCTAACAATCACCGGTAATTCCAGTTCCATTGGATCTGATGCTCTCTTCTGGCTCTACAGGCATTGTGTGCACAGGTACACTTGCATATATACAGGCCAAACACTAAGACACACAAAAAATAAATTTTTTAAAAATTAAAAAGTTACATCTACTTGACTGCCAAACTTCAGCCTAATGGAACAGAAAGTGTGGCAAACAGACTATTTAATCTGAAATAAAATTTACTTTTTTTTTTTTTTTTTTTTTTTTTTACAGGGTCTCCCTGTAGCTCTAGCTGACCTGGAACTCACTATGTAGACCAGGCCCCCAGCTGTCCTGGAACTCGCTATGTAGACCAGGCTGGCCTTGAACTTACAGAGATCCACCTGCTTCTGCCTCCCAAGTGCTGGGATTAAAGGCTTGGGCCACCACACCCAGCAATTTACATATTTTTAAAGATGGCCAAGTCAGTTTATGATTATATTAATATGTTTGTTACTGTTGTATACATGTAATAACCTAGGGTGGTGATTTTACCTTACCTTCAGTTTTAAAAAATGCTTTTTTTTTTGTTGTTCATTACTAGGGATTGAGTCCAGAGTTTCTCACATGCTACTCAGGCCCTCTGCCACTGAGCTATACTCCCAGCTCTGTGATATATCTTCCTATTAATTACATTCTGTCAATAGCTATCTAGAATTAAAAATTGAAAAAATATACATATCGTTCAAATATCCAAACAAATTTGACAATGAAGTTATAAAAGCTGTATAAAGAAAATTATGTTTTAAAAGGAATAAAGCACTAATTGAATGAATAGAAAAATAATACCATGTTTCTCAATGGTAAAATTTTAGGTACAAATATTCCTTCTTAACAAATGAAACTGCAGATGTTTCATGATCCTAATAATCTAAATGAGTTATGTGTTTTATTAAAACTGACCATAGTTCTTTTAAATTTAGTGTCTCAGAGATGTAGAGTTGCTTTAACAGGTAATTCAGCTTAGTGGTTAAAAGCACTCTCCAAGCCCAGTTTTATTTACTTTAGTCTCAGTTTGACTGTGTACCAGCTGCATAATCTTGAGTAATTTACTTGCCTAATTACTAAGTTTTTAAAAATTTATGTAAGATGAGGACAGTAATAGTATTTACTGTGGTGTTAAGAACATACAGTGATCTAGCCATGGTTGCTCACACCTGTAATCTCAGTTCTGTGGAGCTGAGGCAGGAGTGTGTCATGAGTTTGAGGCCAGCCTGGGCCACATAGCAAGTTCATGTCTCAGGATAAAGAACATATAATGCTCAATGTAAGTTCATGAAGGTAGTTGTTGTGACCATCAGCCTTATACTTATTTTGGTAGAATTGCCACAGAATTTGGGAGTCGGCTAAAATGGCAAAAGGAAACATTACTTCTACTACTATTTTTCTATCTTGCCTTTAGTATTTTTATAAATGTCCCGTATTTTATAAAGTTTCTTGTATCAGGAAATGGGAGCATAGCTTACTAGTAGGACACATGCTTAGCAGATGTAAGACTCTGAATTCAATTCCCATGATAGTGAGGAGGGTCTTTGATCAAGCTAATATAATGATATTATAACACTTAACCAAAGGATCAGTGAAACAGTCTAGGAACATGTTCCATTGTATATGGGATTAGTAAAATATAATTGGGAAGGAAATATATTGATTTACTGTATTTAGTTTTCTGCCCGGGAAAAAAAGGTTAATGTACCTTTATTGGTTAAGAAGCTTCAGATAGAATAAAAATACAAAAATATAAATAAATAAACATATAAAATAATAAGGAAAACATTTTCATAATCTCAGCATAGAAAATGCTTTTGTATAAAAAAAGAGCTGTCAGAAAGTCACGTATAAAGTCAAAAGACCAAATCCAAATCAATATATAAGAAGAAGAAAGACATACAAGAAGTCTAAATAGAATACAACATTCAAAGTGCCTCAAACTCTAAGTGCTCTTAGCACTCTTCAGAGCCCCATCATTCTGCTCCATTGGTTCAATGACTTGGAGCCTCTGAAAAGGATGCAAGGTCACTCTTTGTGGAATCTTGTTTGGGCTGTCTCCTCTCTGTTTCCATTCTTCTAAATCTTTGAAAATACTTATAGTAAAAGATGTAGTGATAGGGAATCACTTCAGGATTAAATGAGCTCCAGTTACACATTAGTGTTCATCTTTAGAGAAAGATGCAAGACATAGAGTAAGGAAGTCCTTACAATAATTGGAACAAGGGAAAATAATATGCTGTCATGCTCCACCTTTTGATATATGTATTGTGTGAAAGACTAGATAAGCATATGCAGTCTCACATTCTTAATGAGTTAGGCCTAGTCTGTCAGTTACTCACTATGAAAGTATTAGTATCTTGTGCCAGGTCTCACCTTAATGTTTAAAGTCCTTTAGATTTAAAAACAACAACAACAACAACAAAAATAAAATAAAACAGAAATAATACCTTGCTCTAGAAGGACTGAATGTTTGCCAGATCAAATTTAAGGAAAAAAAAATCTCAAGTTTCATCACAAGCTGTTAAAGCTATTATTTTGTACTAGGTGACACCCCGTTTAACATCGACCATATTGTTAATAGTTATGGGATTTTATTGAATTAATGAGACTGTTATCATGTAGTGGAATGTCTTGCTGAGTTAATTGAAATTGCAGAGATTATATAAATGGTATTAATGAACTTTGACTGTCTGATGTCTCAGTTTTAATAAAGACTGCTTGGTGGGCTAAATGAACACAGGCAGATAAAAGAACAGGTTCAATTTTGTGAGCCTACAGGCTGTTGATGAAGAAAACTTTGTTACCTTTATTTTCAGGGGCATGAGTTTGGATTGCAGAGAGTATGAATGAGCATTCTGCTTTAAGCAAGCAGAAATGAAGATATGTATACATACACATACATACACAGATGCAGAATGACACACTTTCACGATAACAATACATTTTTACTGTGGTTTCTCAGATTTATAATGTGCTGACTCATGATTAATGCTTTATGAATATTTTTTAAACATGCCTATCTACTTGCCCTTCATTTTTGGCTGTGTTTTTCTTTCTGCTATTCTACAGTTTGAAGCTGGGCTCTTGTATAGCAAGCACAACTATTATTTAACTGTGTCCCTTATCCACATGCAGTTACTAATCAAGTATTACTTGTCTAGTATTGAAAGCAAAACTATTTCTCTCAGGTTTTTTTTTTTTATCATTTTTTTAATAACTACATGATTAGAAGAAGCATTTCATTACAGCCTTAACATATTCAGTAACACACTCCAGAGCAATAGTACATCTCTTTCACAAGTGGCTGTAAGTTTCTAGGTTCACAGTTGAATATTCACAATATTGAACTCAGTATAAGCCCTGTAAGACATAAAACAGAATGAGTTTTTAACCTTTGAAAAAGATCTCCATTTCATTTTAGAATATATTGTTCCTTGCAGAAAGACTCATTGTTTGTACTACTAACACTGAGATGTTGGCACATGCGTCTCTAATCTGTATGTGTCTATTACTAGTCATAATCGGTTGCACTTGGATCCTTGGCACCTCTGTATGTCTATAAAGTCATCGGATAGATTTCAATGGCAATTTTTATCACCTGTATTAATTAACATGACTTAACTTTCCATGCTTTCTCCTCAAATATAATACATTTTTAAAATTTTGTTGATTTTTTTTGTCTGTGTGTGTGTCTGTGTATGTATATGACACAGAACATCCAGAACTATCTTATTCAACTATATACCCATTTACCAGATGGCACCCTCCCATAGCCTCCCTTGCCCTACTAGAGCCCTTATACTCTGGTATCCCTCCTACTGTTTGCTGTGTTGTCAGCACCCCTAGCCACTCCCCAGTACTTATCCATCCAGTGAATCTAGACAGCCTATCTACAGGTCTTTGTTTTAGGAAGGTCAGCTGTTCCTCATCTAGCGGCAATCAGTTGTCAATATTCCTTTAGATAAGAATGGGGTCTGCTGTTCATTTTCCCAATTCTATGCTGGGTTACTATCTGGGAGTCCCTTTGGTCACTCTGGCCAACAACACAAAAGAAGGTATCTCCTATCTGGCATTGTTACTTATTATGTAGCCTTTAGCTATGCATATGGACTCTTAAAAAATTATATTGGCCCCTTTAATCTTTTGTTACACTTTCCTTTGGGTGTTTAAGGCCATAGAGATGGCCCAGATAGACCAATTTATTTTTATTCTTAAGGTCATTTGAGGGTCTGT